TGCTGGGAAGTGGTTGTTCGCTGCTGCCGGATTCTCTTCTTCCAAAAATCCACCATCTCGAGGATGTCCGGGGGTCCTGGGTGGGCAGAGGGGCCTCTGCTTGGTGCCCGGGCGCATCTTCCCCCCCCTGCCCCGGCAGTGCTTCATTTGTGCGGGAAGGGGCATATTTTGTCCACCTGTGCCGTGGTGGAGTCCTGGCTGTCAGCTAGAACGGGGGATGTTTTGGGCCAGGGGCACAGGAAGGCGTTTGGCAAGAGGCAGTTCCTTGGCCAGGTGGTTTATATCCCAAGGAGGTGAGAGAGAGGAAACGGGAGCGCAGGGAAGAGGCTGGATCCATGAGACTCTGGGGTCTCTGTCACTGCCCGGTGCCAGCAGTCGGAAATCTGGGAGCTTTACAGGGCAGCTTTCAGCTCCTGGCAACGCTGCTTAGAAAAATTAACAGCTATTGATGCTTCTGTATGTTTTAGAAAAGTTGTATCTGGGTGTGTAAATCCTGTACCCTGAATTTAGATCCTGTGGCTCTTTTTTGAGTTAATGCTCCAACTTGCCTAGCTTCTAACAACAGTGGTGATATGGTTGTTGGCAAGTGTGACTTTGTTAAGTTGTTTCACAACTTAATTTGGCTTTTTTAAAACTCCCAAAGGAAATCCTGTCCTCTGAACAATGAAGATCTTAGACCCCGGGTAACTCTTAGACGCACAAACTGTGAATCCCTCCTCGTTCTTCTGAAGCAGATGCTGAAGTTCTTTAGAAGGATCTTCTCCATTCACATACGGTGCCTGCGTGAGGACAGAGACAGCTCCCCACCATTTCGTGAGTATCAGCTCAGCTGTGGATTTCAGTCTGAGCTTTTGGTTGTGGCTGTGTTAAGCAGCTGGCTGCAGGTTTCAGTCCGGTCCGTTGCCTGTGCCAGAGAAGCTGCGGAATTGAGGAGCTGCGTTCTGTGTGTGCTCCCAGGGAGCTCTTCAGACGTGTGGTCTGGTGGTGGCAGCAAGGCGAGCTGTGGTGGGAAGGGGGTGAGCTCAGTGCTCGGGGCTGGAGGTGTATCTGACATCTGGTGCAGTTGGGGGTTTGTGCAGCGTTGGGCAAGTGGTTTGACCTCTGAGCCTGCAAGACTTTTTCTGTAGGGCTGAGATAATGCTCTTCTCGACTTGAAGGATGCTCTGACGTTTCAGAATATTCTGTGTTGTTCTACAAGTCATTGTTACTGTGCAATGTGTATGTTAGATCTCTTGATGAGACCTCAGTATTAAAGGAAACATCCCAGTATGCAGTTCTGGGCTTAGTTCAGCTTGAATGTTTTCGGTTTGTTTTTCAATTTTGAGCTGTATTACAAAAATGGCAAAGCTGAGGAAAAAAAATCCTGGTGTTTGGAAGGGAAAGTAATCAAAACTTTCAGCTGATTCTGAGTCTAGGGAGCTCTGCCTGCTCAGCACTGAAATCGGAGCATCTGGGGCTTTTGTATTTAACATATTGTCCAAGAATGTGCAAAGGGAGCTCCTGGGACATGTACTACTTACCAATTTTTATAAGCTAATGGAGCCAAAATATTCCTGGAAAGCAGTGATGTGCTGTAACTGCCTGGTGTTCAGTCTGTGCCTGTTTCTTTGTGGGGACAACATGACAATTTGTTTTAAAAAAAGGGAAAAAGAGGCAACGCTCTTACAGGGTAGGACAGATTGATTTATTATTAATGCTTGAGGTGCCCTATAGAAAGTATACAGTAGAGCAGCAGGGACAGTCTGAAAACACTTAAGCTCTGGCTAGGCTCTCACTGCTTATTAACTAGCCTAATTAATATCTAAAAGGATCTCTTGGGGGTGAAAGCAGCATTAGCCAAGAAGCATAGAAACCGTGGACAATCCCACCATAGTGGGGGATAAAAGCAGCAGCAATGGAAGTGAAGAGTGACAGCCTTGACCTGACTTTCCTCGCTGTCACCCAGTGCTGAGCTTGCTTGGTAACAGGGAGATTTAACGTGCCAAACTCTGCTTGTTGGGTCTGTGGAGTTGAAGTGTGACACACTACCCTGTGAAAAAAGTTTCCTCCTGTGTGCAGACCTGGGGCAGTTGTGTTGTTACAGTGGCAATGAGAAGAACAGTTAAACAGATAGTCTGCTGTAGGATTTCCGTTGTAGGGCTTTGTAAAGCTTTTGCTCCCCTGAGGTGTGATTTGAGACCGATTCCTTGACAAGATCTTTTCTTTAACCCAGATGAAGACATCAGTTTTCCTAGGAAAGTCCTTAAGGGAACACGGCCTTAGCATGACTAGCAAAAATCATCAGCATCAGTAAGGCTGTTTTACTAAATCCTCTAAATTTGAATAGCATTGGCTGTTGTTACTAAATCCTCTAAATTTGAATAGCACTGAATAATCTGGAGTCTGAATTGGCAGCTTGCATAGTGATTGATTGCTTGTCAGCTCCTGGGCAGTGTGTTTTGAAAGGGATCAGCACTGTCAGGGCCCAGCTTAATCCCAAGGAATGCAAGACAAAGGGGAAGTTGTTCAAAAGGAGATACTTTCCCTTTGCAGCCTGTCAGCTGGCTCCACCTACAGCGGTGCTCTCCATTTATTGCTCTGGAGCAACGGCTCTGGAGCCTGCCTCGTGTTGAGGAAACCTCTTCTGAAGGTTACAGGGATTTTGATGTCTTAAAAATAGTCCTTTTCAAACAAACCTCTTCTGATTCAAGCATCTACCGCAAGGAAGCAGCACAGCTAGAGTACTCGGAGAGCCCTGAAGCAGGCTGGATTCCCTCTCTATGTGACAAGTGAGACCAGCGTGAGTCCTAGAGCAGAACCTTCCTGTAAATGATTGAAAAGCTGAATTTGAGAATCCCTGAATTTGAACATTAGGTCCTTCTCTGTTGATCAACAGCTTGCTAAGGTGAGACTGGGGAGGAATTCTTTGTCTGACTTGAGACCTTCTTGTTCTCCAGGTGCCTGAGCAGTGCGCCATGCTGGGCCAGAAAACAGGACTCCCTCACGACCTGAACAGCCACCGCCAGCTGAACCAGTCCTACCAGGAGGCCGTGCCCCTGCGGCCCAGACCATCCAAGGGGACGGATGTCAGTCTGGAGGTGTTCAGCGGCTCCACGCCTGAAGTCAAGCAGAGCCGCGCCAGAGCGCAGCAGATGCGGGATAGGAAGGGTCGCAAAGCTGACCTCAAAGACTCCAACGGGAGAGAGGCGGAAACAATCACCTTTATTTCTGGTACAGCAGAGGCTCCCCCAAACCAGAGCTTCTGCTGTTCCTCTCTGTCTCAGGCCTGGAACACATACAAGGCCGTTTTCTGTTGTATAGTGACCTGTGGGGGCTGCTTTCAGGACTGCAGTGTCTGTATTCCCTATCCGGGGCCCACCGAGACCTCCACTGACGATGGAAAGAACGGAGATTATAACGGACGACTGCCAAACAGCCCCGCCAACGTCTCTCCCACTGAGAAGAATGGGAACCAGATCAAAAAGTCCAGCATGGGCAGCAGTTTCAGTTACCCAGATGTGAAACTGAAGGG